CACGGTGTCCCCCCCCCCACAAGCCTCCCTGCTCCCTGTAGGTACCTCTGCAAGTCTCACTCTTTGGGCTTTGCTCCTCATCCTATTCCCTTCTGGCCCAAGCCTGGTGACCTCGCCCTCTTTAGGGACCACCCCTGGCCTCCACCCCTGAGTTCCAGCTCTCCCCGGACACCAGGCTCCCGGACGTCCAGTGGGCACCCCATGACAGAACCCACTGCCTCCTCCAAAGCCACCAGGCGCCCTGGCTTGAGTGCCCTGCTGCCCAGTGGCACCCAGCGTAGACCTGTGCTCGAGGACAACGTCTGTCCATGTGGTCCCCAAGATGGCCTTGCCTGTCCCTGCCTCTCCACCCAGAACTTCACCTGCCTTGGGCCGTGCTCCAGTCCCCTCCCTGGCATCCCTGTCACCTGTCACCTGCCGCAGGGCCACAGCTGGTGCAGTGCTCTAGCCGCCCTCGGCCTACACTGGGCGAATTTGGTTGTGTGCTCAGTAATCGCTTCCTGACCGAGCACCCTGCTGGGCCAGCCTGGGGACAGAGGAGTAGCCCTGGCCCGGCCCTGGTCTGCTGGGCTGCGGCCACATGGCCTCGCGTCCTCACCCTCTGCTCCGTCTTCTCACCTCCTGCCCTCCCTTTCCTTCCATCCTGCCCTCGCCGGGTCCCGCCTGTCTCTCCCCATGGCAGCAGGCGTGCTCTGGTCCGTCTCGGGGTGAGTATCTCTCCTGGGCGCATGCCTGTCCGTGTCTGTCTGTCCGTCTCTGAGTGTTGGGTGTGTGTCTGCTCTGGCTGTCCCTCTCTGGGCAGGGGACATGTCTGTGTGTGTGACTGATGTCACAAATCAGACAGGTGTCCTCCTGTCTGATTTGTGCGTGTGGCTGTGTGTTGTGGTGTGGGTTTCTGGCTGGCTGTCTTTGCCGGTATCACAGGCGCTCTGCTGGTCTCGGCCTGGCCTGCTGTGTGGCCGCCATCCGCCCATGTCCCTCTGTGTGTCTGTTGGCCAGTCCTGTCTGGGGGGGTTGCGCTGGGGGGTGTTTCCCAGAGTGAGAGGTTGCCTGGGTGATCCTGTCCGTGTGTCCTTCCTCCCCTCTGTGGGGGCTCTGGAGGCACACGGCTGTCTGTCTGTCTGTCTGGCCACGGCGTCCCTTGCTAGCTGGCTCGAATCTTTCCCTCCCCCTCCCCCCGCCCCCCTCCTGGGGGATCGCTGGGGTCTGCACGTCACTGCCTGAGCCTGAGAGGCGTGTGCGTCAATGAGCCCTGGCCGAGACCCCCGCTTCCCGAGTGGGCGGCGTGCGTGTGTGTGCGTCATCCAGGAGCCTCTGGCGGAGCGGGGGTCTCGCCTCGCCGCTCCGCTCTCTCCGGGCGCCCCTCCCTCTGAGCCTTCGAGAGCTTTCCTCTCCTTCCTGTGTCAGTCAGGCTGCGGCTTGCTCCTTGAGCGCCGCTCTCCCCCTCCTGCCTGCTGCTGGGCAGGTTTGTTCAGGAAAACAGACTTGTTTGTTGGGGGAACTTTCCGGGTGTCCTTGGGTCCTCCATCCACAAGCCCCTGGAGGGCGGAGCTGGGCAGGGCGGGGCCGGGTGGTGGGCTCCCTCCCCCTGTCCTCACTAGGGTCCCGTTCCCCTCCAGAGGTGCCTGACTGGCGAATCCAGGCACAAACTGCCACCTATGGGAAGGCCCCCTGGCTCTGGCATTCTGCAGCCCTCTCCTTGCCCCCGGCACCTCACTCTCCCTCCGCACCAGCCACCTGCCCTTGCCGTTCCCACCTCAGGGCCTTTGCACATGCCCTTCTCGCTGCCTGGGTCGCTGTTTCCCCAGAGTGCCGAAGACTCCCTAATTCCCGTCTTTTGGATCTCTGCTCCGATGCTGCGACAGTCTGCCCTGAGCCCCCTGGAGCCCCTGGGCATAGTCCAGGCCTTCACTGGGGTGTCAGGCCCCGTCATGTTTTGCAAGCCTCATCCCTCTTGGTCACCCCACACCGGCCACCACCCCTGCCATCCCAGACGCCCCTCTGGGCCTTCGCGCCTGCCACATCTCTGCCGGGAGAGCCCCCCCCCGCCCCCCCCCCCCCGCTCCAAGTCACTGTCCCTGCAGATTGACAGATTGATGTCCCGCCCACTCCCAAGTACAGTCATTATCCTCCCTCTGCGCCTCCCAAGGGAAGGGGCTTCCAGAATAGCTCCTGCCCTACTGCGTGCTAACAGCGTCCTTTGTCAGTGGGACCCCTCCAGGCAGCTGAGGAGAGGGACTTGCTGGGGGAAGGAAGGGCGGAGAGGGAGGGCCACATGCCTGGCCCCTGCCCCTCCCCTCTGTCTTCCCCTCCTCCTTGGAGCACCCCTTGCCGGTTGCCTCTCACCCTGGTGTGTCTGTCTGTCCCTCTGTTTGTCCCACCTTCCTCCCTACAGTGCGGTGCCCTTGTGGTCCTTTTCGGCATCAGATGCCGTGTTTGTGTGTGTGTGTGTGTGTGTCATGATACCACACACCATCCCCTGTCTTTTGGTCAGTCTGTCTGTCCATCTGTCTCACCATGCCGTACTCCTTGTTGTCTCTCTGCTCCAGCCCTGGGGGTCATTGTGATTCTTTGAGCGTGTGAGACACACACACACACACACACACACACACACACACACAGAACAAGCGCACCCCGCCTGGCCCCTCTCTGCAGGGTCTCGCTTTTGCGTTCATTCTGTGAGTCAGATGTGTGTCCTCCCTCCTTCCACCGACGGCCCTGTCTCTCCCGTGTGCGGGCCGCGTGTGTGTGTGCGTGTGTGTGTGCGCGTGTCTGCCTCTCCCCTCCCTCTAGCCTGTTCTCTCTCTGTCTCCAAGGCTCACTGCAGTCTGCCTGGCTCTGGGAGGGCGGGAGGGAGGGGAGGGGGCCGAGTGCGGGCTGCCCCCCTCGTCCCAGTCCCAGCGCTGCTCTGCTCTCTCTCCTGGTCTCCTGCTCTTGGACTTCATGTCTCTCCATGCCTCTCCCTCAGTCTCTGACCTTCTCTCTCCCTCTCCCTCCCCTGCCCGCTCTGTCCGGCTGCTCTCCCTCTTCCTCCTTCCCTGGCCCCTCTCTCCTCCCGTCTCAGTTTTTCCAGATGTGCCATGTCTGACTCTGCCTCATGCCACGTATCCCCCACTGCCTCCTCCCCTCTCGGCTGCGTCCTGCCCCCTTCCTCCCGCTGGGGTGTGTCTGTGTGTGTGTGTCTCCCAGGGCCTCGTCTCCCCACGACACCCCAGGCTGTGGCCTCCCCCAGTCCTGGCTCCCTGCTGAGAGGTCCTCGCAGCCCCTTACCCCACAGAGGCCACAGAGCCAGACTGCCCCTCCTCCTGACACCTGGTCCCCAGCTCCAGAGTGGGAGATTCCTGTGCCCCCTAGTTGCCCAGGCCAGGGCCGCCCTCCCCCTCCTCAGCCCCTAAACCATCACGAGATGCCTGGACTGTCCCCAAGTCAGCTCTTAGTTCACCCACCCCTCCTTCTCGTGCCACCGATCTCGGGCCACCCCCATGTCTCCCTGGAAGACCCTGTTTCTGTGGTCCTGTCAGGGATCATAAATAGCCCCCATCCCCAAACCCGAAACCCGAGAGCTTGCCACTGTGCAAAGAGCAGAGCCCCCCCCAACCCCCCCCCCCCCCCGCCCCGGGTTGGACAGGCCCTGGCACCCAGGCCTCTGTCTCCTCTCTGCCTCTTTGTGCCTCTCTCACGCCAGCGCTCCTGCTCCTGCAGTCCTCCCTCCTCTGCCTGGCCAGTGGGCCCGCCTTCCCCCACACTGCCCGCCCCTCCGTGTGGCAAACTCCTCTTCCTCCCTGCTCCATGCTCTTGGACTCTGGACCCTCCTCTGGGAGACCCTTCCCCTGCCCTGGCTCGCCCCTTCAGATTGAGGTGGGCTCAAGGGGAATGGGCCGAAGTCCCAACCTACCCCCAAGAGCCTGCACACAGCAGGTGATCAGCAAATGCGCCCCAGTCTGGGGGTGTGGATCTCGGTGCCTTGGGGGCCTCTCTCCCCTGCCGGCCTCCTCCTCTCTGCCCACTGCCTCCCCGTCTCTCTTCCCTGATTGTTGTGTGCGCGCGCATGTGTGTGCATGTGCGCATGTGTGCATGTGTGCATGTGTGCATGTGTGCACGTGTGTGTCTCAGCCTCCCCTCACTTGCTCTCTGTTGCTTTGCCTCCACTCACTCCCTCTGCACCATTTTTCTTTCTCTCTTCATTTTCTTTCCAGGCACGTGTTCTTTCCCGATTCCAAAGGTAACACATCCGTCTTCGTGATGGTGCGTTTAGAAAATGCAGAGAAGCGGGGAAAACAATAGAAGTCCCCACGAGTCCCATCTCCCAAGAGCAGAGGCCCCAGGAGTGTGCGGGGGAGTGGGGCCTGAGCCGGTGTGTGCACCTGGGCGCCTGTGCATGGGGTGTGTGCCTCGCACCGTCACCCCACTGCCCGTCTCTGTCTTGCACCCTCTCTGCCTCTCTTGCTCTCTGTCAGTGTCGCTCTGGCCTGTCTCTGAGCCCCTCTGTCTCTGGGTGCCTCTCTGCCTGCCACCCTCGGCGTTGCCACCCACACCCACTTTCATTCATTCATAAAATCCATTCTGCAGACGCTGGCCCCGGACGTGTGCACCTGAGGGAGCGTGTACCTTGCGCGGCGCACGGGGCTCCCCGGATCTCGCCCCCACCCTGCAGGAGCCTCCCGGGGGGTGTGTCTGCACGCCGCTGGCTCCCTGGACGCCTGCCTGTGTGTCTGTTGTTTTCCTGCCGTCTCCTTCTCTCTGTAGCCTTTTACAACTGCATTCTTACCCCGTGTGTGTGCATTTGTATGCATGTGCACGCATGTGCATGTGTGAGTGTGTGCGCGCGCACGTGTGTGTGTGTGTGCGTGTGCGTGTTCACTCGCTGCCTCTCTTTGACTTCCTCACAGTTCGCTTTCCCTCTGTCTCCGTGGGTCACTCCCATTCATAAGCTCTTTTGCTCATTCAAAAAACAGAGCGTCGTTTTTTCTAAATGGTCTGCCGTGAGCGCAGAAAGCTTTATTAACTTTGTAATAAGAAAAACCGCAAGAGCGGCGGCGGCCGTGCCGGGAGCCCCTTGCTGGCGTGCCCGCGCTGCGGCCCGAGAGCGTGTCCGCCTGTCCCTCCACCTCCAGCCTCCCCGGCCGCCTCCCTCTCTCCTCTTCTCCGCTCCTTTTCTTCCTTGGAGATTTCTGGAATTTCACTCTCGCCGCTCCTGCTGTGAGCCTAAAGAGTGGGGCTGTGAGCACGCGTGCATGTGTGTGCGTGCGTGTGTGTGAGCCCAGGCGTGGTGGCGCGAGTGAGCCCGCGTGTGCTCTCGCCTCCCCCTCACTGCCCCTCGGAAGCCTCGCCAGCCTTTGTTCCCCTCCGTGGACATTTTCTTTCTTTCAGAAATGACAGTGACTATTTTCCTTTGGTTTCGGAGATAATACGCGTCCCCTGCAGAAAAGGCGGCAAACACTCAGTGGAACCGCAGAAGAATCTACATAGCATCCCCGTGGTCCCGCCTCCTGAGCAGAGAGGACCCGGTTAACCTTTGGGGTCTTTTCATGACCTTTTCCACATGTCTGGGAGCCTCTGTGAGCATGTGTGTCTTTCTTTGCAGACTCCGTTCCACTCCTTCTCACTCAATCATTCCTCCAGATGCATTTGGAGACCCCGTGTGGGACACCCTGTGTGTCTTTGTCAGTCCATCTGGATGTCTCTGTCTGAGGGTCTCCTGCCTCTCTCCCTCCGTGTGTGTGTGTGTGTGTGTGTGTGTGAGAGAGAGAGAGAGAGAGAGAGAGAGAGAGAGAGGGAGAGAGAGAGAGCGAGCGCCGAGCGCTGAGCGCCCTTCGCCTCCCTTCCTCCTCCTTCCTCCCCTGCCTCCCTCTGCTCATGGGGCTGTGCTGGCGCCTGCCCAAGCCCCATCCTTTTCCTGCCCCCGTCCCTCTGGGTTTGGGCTCCTTAAGGGTGGTGAGCTCTGGGGAGTGGAGGGGGCAATGCAGGAGGAGGGCACAGCTCCGGGTGACCAGTGGGAGCAGGAAACAGGACAGTGCTTCTGGGAGATTTCCTCCTGTGGCCCAGGAGACGAGGGGGCAGGGGCAGGGGCCTTTCCCCAAACATCTCCCTGAGGTCCCCTCTCTTCTCTCTGTCTCCCTTGCCCTGGTCTGGGCTTTGCCTGGGTCCCTCCACTAGCCTGTGGTCGACTCTGAGGTTTGCAGTGCACAGGGGACCATGCCGGGCCTGAGAGGCTCCAGGGGGCTGGGGGTGGGGGCAGTGAGCAGAGGGAGGGGATGACCAACAAGGGCTTCCCACTCTCGCAAGGGTCTCAGCCTAACTCCGACCCCAAGCCAGCTTTGCCCTGCCTGTACCTTACTCTCCCCAGCCCAGCTGTCGTACAGAGCAGGGGCTTCAGGGAGGGGCCGAGTGTGGGCTTGGAGCCGGGCAGGTCTGAGGCTTCCTCCGGTGTCACTGCTTCTAGCTGGGCCTCCCCGCTTCAGCCTCAGTTTCCTCATCTCTGGAATGGGGCTGGCAGCGGTCCCCTTTCGTAGGCTGTGGCGAGGAGGGAAGGGTGAATTCAGGGCCGCGGGAGGGCAGCCTGGCACATGGCCAGCGTCCGTGGACGTCTGTGCCCGTTGTGCTGTGCTCGTTCCCATCACTGGCCCTCTCCCTCTGGACTGGGCTCGTGGGCCCGTGACGGCGTCCCCAGCCCCTCTGCTGGCATGCAGCAGGTGCCCCTGGCCCAGAGCGACTCGGAGAGCGGGCCTGGCCGAGGCAGGCAGACAGGCACACAGACGTGTGAACACGCATGAGCACGCACACACCGCACACAGCAGGGCTGACCGGTGGGCTGGAAGGAAATGGAATTCAGCTTTAGACACGCGCATTGAGAAAGGGAAGACAAAAGTTGGGAGTGGGGACAGCGGAAAGACCCTCAGGGTGCAGACTCGGAGCCCCACGCAGCGCCTGGGACTTGGCGTGGAGCCTGGCCTGCAGGCGCTGTTGGGGTCTGCGCCGAGGGGCCGGCCAGCTGCAGAGTGTGGGCAGGGAGGAGCCAGAGACCCCAGGAGGACAGCGGGAGAGAGACAGAGGGTAACAGTCGCCTGGAGAGACACAGAGAGACAGTGGGAGGTAAGAGATGAAGGGAGAGACAGAGACAAGCAGGACAGAGAGACTAGGGAGAGACAGAAAGATGCTCAGAGAGACAGAGGGGACACAGGAGACAAAAGCGTGGGCGACAGAGGGAGATGGGGGAGAGTGAGACAAGAGAGTGCCCAGTGGGGACTGAGGGGCCGGGTGGCACCCTGAGGGGAGCTCTTGGCCTTGGGAAAGGCTGGGCTAGTGCCAGGAAAGCTGCTGTCACCCCCGGGGCAAGTTTTAGCAGTCAGGGGGAATTCTGGGCTTCACCCAGTGGGCCATAGGGAGCTAGTGAAGGTTGTAGAGCAAGTCAGGGATCCCGTCACAGTGGTGGGGTTTGGTAACATGCCCTCTGGAGGCAAGAGAAGGAGGACAGGATGAGGCTGTGAGGGGCTGGGGCGCGGCTGGGGGGAAGGAAGGAGGTTGGTCCACCCAGGCATGGCTTTTCCAAGGTGTTTAACGGACACTCACAGAATGGGGCGGGGAGAGAAAGCGTACCAGCCTGCGGGCGGGGCGGGCGGGGGAGGGAAGGCTGCAGGGGCACTGGGGACACGGGTGGCCTCCCCAGCGTGGGGTCCCCACCTCCAAGGCTTTGCTCTGGCTGTGACCTCGGCCCGGGCTGCCCTTCGCCCAGCTCCCCCTTCTCCTCACCCCTTCCTGTCACCCCCCAAGTGGGCGTCCTGCCTTGGGGCTCCCATGGCCCCTGGGCACATTGCCATCGCTGCCGTCACCATATTTATTCTCCTATAACCTTCTATCTCTTCTGCGCCTGCCTGGTCCCCGGACTGGAGCGGCACGGGGCGGGGAGTCCCAGTTCTCTCCGGAGACCTGCCCGCACCTGTCCAGCGTGGGGCTGAGCACACAGGAGGCACCCGGGGATCCCGGACAGGGGCTAGGAGCGCGAGTAAGCCTTCTTTCCCCACCTGGTTAACCCCGTGCCTCCTTCAAGGCCCAGCTCCTACAGCCCTTCCTTGCTAACGCCCTTCCTGCTCCCCTTTCCGTGAGCGGCTCCTTCCCTGGGAGCCACTTAGTGTGGTTGTTACAACGCATCCCAGGTCCCGTCACTGCCCTCTTCGTCCGCTTTCTAAAGGCCGCGGGCGCTCAGGGGCAGAGCGAGGCGGGTAACAGCAGCAAGGGCAGGATTCTCGTGGGCGCTCACTGCCTGCCAGAACCGTTCTGACTGCTGCGCGTTCTTTGCTTAATCCTTTACAATCGTGTTCATATAGTCAATGCGATTGTAGATACTATTATTATTAGCTTCGTTTTATGGATGGCGAAACCAAGGCTCAGAGAGGTTAAATGACTTGTCCCAGGTCACACAGCGAGTCAGTAGTGGAGGTGGGATTTGAACCCAGGCTGTCTGGCTCCAGAATCACTGTGTAAGGGGATGCAAGATGGTTAAGCATTTCTCTCTCACCGTTAAAGGGCCCTGGAATCTCTCTCTTTTCTGTCTCCCTGTCCTGTCCTGGGATCCTTGTCCCCTCATCCTGTGCCTTCTCCCCAGGCAGCTCGCTCCCTCCCCACTGTGCCGGCCCCGGCATCCCCCCCTGCGGCCCACGGGGATGAAGACACAGAGCCAGCGCCTGCCGGGCCCTCCGCAGAGGCCTCACCCGCCACCTGTCTCCGCAGAGGCCTCACCCGCCACCTGTCTCCGCAGCCCCCAAGCATGCTCTTCCGCATTCTCATTAGCGCCGGGCGTTACCCCCCACCGGGCTGCAGCGACTCATCCCTGACTTCTGCAGCTCTCCTGCCCACGGCCCATCTGTCCCCGCTTCCTGCCGCCTCCCGCTCTAGCTCTGGGGACCCCTCCTGTAGCACAGCCCCCGCCTCCGCCCTCACCCCGACACTTCTGCCTCAGACACCTGTTGCCTTCCCAAGTCCCCGTGTCTGTAAACGAAGCGGGCGACCCGTTCGTTCCTCCTGGGGTGCCTCGAGGATTAGGCCAGTCTTGAAAAGCTGTCACGGCAGGGCCAGGCTCTCCGCGGTCCACCGCTGCCATTAAAGATTAAACGGGAGCTGTTATTAAAGATTTTCTGAATGAATGAATGGCTGACCCCGGGCCTGTGTTCTTCTTCCTGGTACTCTTCCCAGATTCCCGCCCACGGCCCTGTCTGTAGGGCAGGAGCTGTTAACATTTCGGAAGGATGGCTGCCCTCCGCAGTTCCTCGGCTCTCGCCAGCCGCTGCAAGCCGCTTCCCTCCTAGAGAGAGGCCTCTCCCTCGATTCCACCTCTCCCAGCCAGGGCCCGGTCTTCCCCGCGTTCTCGGGGAGCTCTGGGGAGGAGTTGCCCCCCGAGTCCCGCCCCTCCAGCCCGCTTCCTGCACCCACTTCCACAGCAAGGTCAGCGGTGGCCTCCTGCTGCCACATTTCGTGGACGTTTAAAGTCGTCACCTTCATCTCACTTGGACTCTGAGCAGCATTTCGACGCTGTTCTCGGTTTCCAGTCACCCTCCCGGCTCTCCCCGCGTCCCTCGACCACTGGGGAAGGGCCGGAGGACCCTTCTAGGTGCAGCTGGAAAGCCGGTGGGCCCATCGTCCAGCCTCTGCATATCCTCTCTGTCTCTGTCTCTGTCTGTCTCTGTCTCTGTCTCTTCTCGCTTCTCTGGGGAGCTTGATCCATCCGGCCCTATGGCCTGAAAACCCAGCAAGCCTCGCGTTGATGATGGCCGGCTCGGGCCGGAAGCCCAGGCTTGGTTGGATGTCCAGCCGCCCGTGGCCGTGTCCCTGTGCAGGTCCACGGGCCACTCCCTCTTGGCATGCCCCACATGCACCCTTGACTGCCACCCTCCCAGCCTCGCCCCTGCCTGGCCTCCTGCACTTCTGTCACCGGCACACCCACCAGCCGAACCTAAAACAGGGGCCTCACCCCCCCCCACGCCGCCCTCCCTCCGCCCTCTCTCCCTGCCCGCTGTTTCCGCCGCCCTCAGATCCGATGACTCTGGGGTCTCCACCTCCTGCCTAATCTTCATTCCGGGCCCCCGAGCTGCACGACCAGCCGTTCGCTGGATGCTTCCACCTGGAGGTCCCTCGGGCACCTGCTGCTCCGCCTGTCCCAGAGTGGACTCAGCATCTTCCCCACACTGCGGGGTCCTTGTGTCCGCAAAGACGCCACGCACCCCGCCCTAGAGGGTGGTGCCCACAGCGGCTTCATCCACGGCGCTGCGCACTGGGTGGCCGCCTGCCGACCCCCCTCTGTGCCCGGGGAGCTCTGCGTCTCCTGGTTCTGGTTTCTCTGTCCCGGCCCCGTGGCCACCCTTGAGGCCTTCGACACCCGCATGGAGGGCAGAGCCAACACCAAGGGCTGGACCTCCCGGGTGCTGACAATCCTGTCCTGTGCTGGACCTCAAGCCTGACCCCGTCTTTGACCTTGCTGCCCAAGGACAGCGCCAGCTCTGAAAGCTGAGTTTCGAGCCACCCCACTCCCCGAGATCGCCGCCGCCATTCCATCTCCTTTACTCGAGTGCGGCTCGGATCTCAACGTGACCTTGCAAGTCTCCGCCCCTCTGACCAGCCTTCCAGCCCCGCTTTGTGACGGACCCGCTCTCGGCAAGATGCCCAATGATTTCTGTCTCGCCCAGTTGATGGGCAGCCTCGAACCCTCGTCTCCCTCGTCCCATCCGCAGTGTTGGATGTGGTCGACTACTTGGCCTTCCGGTTTTCCTTCTCAGTCTCTATTGCTGGCTGGATCCTGCTGCTTCCTCCTACCGATAAACGCCCCCCTTCTCTTTGTTATCTGCACGCTCTCCTTAGGTGACCTCAGCCAGTCCTTGGTCTGACGCGCTGTTTACTGGCTGGCGATGCCCTCCGTCCACCTCTCCCTGCACTCCAGACCCTGCTGCCCATCAGTCTCTGCTTGGCTGTCCAGCAGGCATCTCAGGCTGTGTCCTAAGCTGAACTCCTCCTTGTCCCCTGCAAAGCGGCGCCTTCTCCAGTCTCCCCCTTGTCTGTAAGTGACGCCACCTGGAGCCCTTCCTTGTGCTTTTGTCGGTCACGTCCACGAGTGAGTCCCACCGACTGCACTTCCAAAGCTCTCCGAATCCATCCCATTTTCCTCACCCGGCCGCCCCATCCTAACTCCAGCCGCCATCATTTCTCTGGGACACCTGCCCAGCCCCCGGCCTGGCTCCCTGCTTCTTCTCCTCCTGTGTCCAGTTCATCCTCCCTCCAGAGCTAGGGGGGTCTTGTGAGTTAGATCATGCCCCCTCCTGATGGTAAGGTACACATTTTCTGCCCTACCCTACAAAATCTGACATGATCTGACCCTGACGCTGTCTCTGTCTTCACCGCCTGCGTTTTCTCCCTCTCACGAGCTCGGGTCCAGCCCCCTGGCCTGCTCGCCGTCCCCCAAACGCCATGCTGACTGCTGTCTTAGGGCGTTCGCCCCTGCTGTTCCTGCAGACTCTACTCCCAGAAATTCACAAGGCCACCTTCTTCCTTCCTGTCACTCAGGGCCCAGCTCAGATGCCACCTCCTCCAGGGAGCCCTTTCCTGACCATCCCTTCCGAAGTGGTCCTCCCGTCCCCCGGGCTCCACCTCGCCCTGCTGGACCCTCTTTTAGCTCTTACCAATATCCACAATGCCCGCACTAACTCACTGGTTCTTTCTTCTCTCTTCTCTGTCCTGGAAGGTCGGTTCCGGGGGAGCAGGGGCTGGGTCTGCTCTGCTTCCTGCTGTAATTTGGTCCTTCAACAGCGTCCGGCACACAGTAGGTGCTCCGTAATTCTTGTGGGCGGCGTGCACGACTCCGACGGGTGCGCGAGTCCTGTCAGGTCTGGTCCGTAGCAGCTCTCGCCTCGCTGGCTCTCTGCCCTCCTCGTCCCTTCTGCAACCTCTCCTGGCCCCTGGGTGCCCCCTCAGGGCCCTGGCAGGTTTGGGCCTCCGTTTGTGAGTGGGGCTGCTGGGTGTGTGAGTGTGAGTGTGAGTGTGAGTGTGAGTGCGTGTGTGCCTGTGTGTGAGAACACACAGCCATGCCTGAGTATGGGCGTCTGTGTCTCACCGCGGGTCATATTTCTGTTTCCTTCACTTACTGGGCTCTGCTATAACTCTGGTGTGCCTCATTCATTCATTCATTTGTTAATTTACTACTTTATTCATTTTTCATCTTTAAATATCTTGTGGTAGATGATATGCTAGATAATGTAGACATGAGATGTGTGTGTGGACACATCTGTGAATCTCCCAGTCTGGACCCTTGTTAGGGTTTGTTCTCCTCACTGGATGACCCCATCCATCCCTTCATCCGTCCCTCCACCCCGTCCATCCATCCATCCCTCCACCCCGTCCATCCCTTCATCCCTCCACCCCCATCCATCCCCACCCCTCGAACTCCATCGCATCCATCCGGTTCCTCCACCCCCATCCATCCATTCCATCCGTCGCTTCCCCCCCATCCATCCATCCCTCATCCGTCCTGCCACCTCGCGTCCATCCATCCGGATCCTCCACCCCCATCCATTTCCCTCCGCATCCCTCCACCCCCATCCAGCCATCCCTCCATCCCTCCACCCCCCATCCATCCATCCATTCATCCGTCCCTCCACCCCCATCCATCCATCCATCCGTCCCCTCCGACCCCCAGTCCATCCGATCATCGCGCTCCCTCCACCCCCATATTCCATTCCATTCCCTCATTCCGTCCCTCCACCTCCGGTCGCCATCCATCCATCCTCCACGCCGCCATCCATCCATCCATCCCTCCACCCCCATTCCATCCTCCATCCTTCCACCCGATCCATCCATCCATCATCCGTCCCTCCCCACCCCATCCATCCATCCATCGTCCCTGCCACCCCATCCATCCATCCATCCGGTCCCTCCACCCCATCATCCATCCATCCTGCACCCGCGCATCCATCCATTCCTCCATCCCCCCCACTTTCCATCCCTCCGATCGCATCCACCCATCCATCCATTCATCCGTGCCCTCCACCCCGTCCCATCCAGTCCATCCCTCCGACCCCATCGCAGTCCCGTCCATGCCCGTTCCACCCCCATCCCGTCCATTCTCTCCACCCATCCATCCATCCCTCCACCCCCATCCATCCATCCCTCCACCCCATCCATCCATCCTCCACGCCCCATCCATTCCCCCATCCATCCACCATCCATTCCATCATCCGTTCCGCTCCACCCCGTCCATCCATCCATCCCTCCACCCCATCGCATCCCTCCATTCGCCTCCACGCCCCATCCATCCATCCTCTACCCCGTCCATCCATCCGATTCATCCGTTCCTCGCGGGCGATCCAGTCCATCCATCCCTCCACCCGCTCCATCGCATCCTATCCCTCCACCCCATCCATCGCCCTCCATCCTCCTCCACCCCATCGCATCCATGCGCCTTTCTACCCGGCTCCATCGCATCCATTCATCCGTCCCTCCAACCCCGTCCGATCCTCCATCGCCTCCACCCCATCCATCCCTCCATCCCTCGCACCCCATCCATCCATCGTCCACCCTCCACCCTCCATCCCTTCCACCCCCATCCATCCATCATCATCCTTCCCGTCCACCCCGCATCATTTTCCGCTCCATCGCCTCCACCCCCATCCATCCATCCATCATCCATCCATCCATCCATCCATCCCTCCACCCCATCCATCCCTCCATCCCTCCACCCCCCATCCATCCATCCATTCATCTGTCCCTCACCCCCATCCATCCCTCCATTTTTTGCTTCCCGCTACATCCGATCGCATCCGATCGCTCCACCCCATTCCATCCCTCCATCCCTCCATCCCCCACCCCCCATCCCTCATCCTTCACGCGCCCATTCCATCCTCCATCCTTCCACCATCCATCATCCCTCCACCCCCGATCCATCCTCCATCCCTCCATCCTCCACCATCCATCCATCCTCCACCCCCATCATCCCTCCATCCCTCCACCCCATCCAGTCCATCGCATCCAATCCATCCTCACCCCATCATCCTCCATCGCCTTCCACCCCCCATTCCATCCATCCATTCATCTGTTCCCTCCACCCCAATCCATTTCCCCTGCCATCCCTCCACCCCCAGTTCCATCCATCATCCCTCACCGCCCATCATCCATCATCCTCCACCCCATCCATTCCATCCGATCCCTCCGACCCCCATCCATCCATCCCATCCTCCACCCCCATCCATCCCTTCATCCCTCCATCCCCATCCATCCCTTCATCCCTCCACCCCATCCGATCCGCTCCATCCCCAATTCCATCCATCCATCCCTCCACCCATCCATCCTTCATCCTCGATTCCCAATCCATCCCTTCATCCTCACCCCCATTCCATCCCCCATCCCTCACCGCCCCGATCCGATCGCATCCATTTCATCGTTCCCTCACCCCCATCCATCCATCCATCCTTGCACCCCCATCCATCCATCCATCCATCCCTGCACCCCCATCCATCCATCCATCCCTGCACCCCCATCCATCCATCGCATCTCCCTGCAGCCATCATCCATGCCACGCCCCTCCACCCCCGATCCATCATCCATCCATCCACCCCATCCATCGCCTCCATCCCTCCACCATGGTCCATCCATTCCCCTCCACCCGCCCATCCATTCCTCCTACCCTTCCCCCCCATCCATCCATCCACTCCTCACTCCCATCCGTCCATCCCTCCAGCCATTCCGATCCATCCTCCCTCCACCCCATTCCATCCCTCCTCCAGCCCGCCAAGCCGTATCGTATCCACTGCCCATCCGCCCCCCACCCATTCCCCCATCCTCCCATCCATCCATCTGCCCAGCATCTAACAAGTACCAGGCTCTGTGCCAGAGAGAAGGTGAGTGTGTGTGTAGAGTGCACATTGAACCTAAATCCATGTCCCTACTGTCTGTCAGAACATCCCATTCCCCTTCCCTGACTTCCTGTGTTTCTATCTCATTCCAAAGCCACATTCCCCTCTCTCTACAGTGGAGCCTTGTTGGACTTTTGCTCTGAGTCTGGGAGCCATCCTTGCTCTGTGTGTGTGCACGTGTACACATCTGTCAGTCTCTCACATCTTTCCCCCTGGGGCTTGGGCTGTGCGGTTCCCGGTCTCTGGGTCACTATCATTCACACTTTGTCCATCTATTTGTTGATTCATCCACAAGAGTTTGATTAAACACCTGCTTCATGTCAGGGCTGGGGCTGGTCTGTTGTGGATGTGTGTGCATGTGTGGGTGCACACCGTCTGCTGTCCCTGCCTCTGTCTCCTTCTTCTCCTCTTTCTCCACCTGCCTTCATACCTTGGGGCCCCACCCCTCCTCCTCTGTACCTGCTCACCCTGCTCTTGTGCCCACAGCCCAGACCGGCCTTCACGCGCACAAGTTGAAAACTCCAAGCCCCTCCCCGCTGGTTTGGATACTGAAAACACAGCATATGACAAACTCACCACATCATTTCCGCACCCCTCATGTGTTTCTCTCCCTGTTCTCATTAGTGCTGAGTGTCATTGCCTGCCTGGGTCCACAGCCAGGAGGCCCGAGTCATCTCTGAGTCCTCACTCTCCTGCCGCCCACGGCCCATCTGTTCTTCCTGTAGAATCTTCCTCCAAAAACTGCTCAGCACTCCTCACCCCCACCACCATCCTATCAGCCCCCACCTCAGCCCAGGCCCAGACAATGGAAGCCTAGACCACTGCATCCATCCATCCATCCATCCATCCATCCATCCATCCATCCATGCATCTACCCATTAGCAGAATGGCATTGAGTACCCACTGCGTCTCTGCTGAGGACACAGGCCCCAAGTCCCAGGCCATGTTCTGCAGGAGCCCAGAGTCCAGGGGGAAGACAGACCAGTTGTCACTGGACTACAAGATGGGCGACAGGGGCTTCCAAGACGTTCTGTCCCTTTGGTCACGACACAGTGTGTGTTTGGGTGAATGACACCTGCCTTTCTTGACCATGTTTTCATACCTTCTTCCTCCATCCAGCCCTCCCCGGGCTGCGTCCTCTGCCTTGGCCCTCGCCCGTCCACGAGCAATGCCTGTGCTGTGCTGTCCACGCCCAGGGCTGCTGCGGCGGACCCTCCTGTGTGTCCCCTGTCCCTTCCTCGGCCCCACTTGGATGCCCAGCAATGTCACAAACTTGCCAAGACAGGATGGAACTCCTTGGTGTCCGCCGTGTTCCCATACCCATCTCTGTGGCCCCACTTCTTGCCGATTCCTCCTCTAGCATCTCTCTCCCATCTTCCACTTCCTTTGTGGCCTCACGGCCAGTGTCGTTGCCCTGGCAACGGCCATTCTCCCTCTCTCCTGGCTCCTCTCAGCCGGGCCTGGAGCGTGCTCTACTGTGGAGAGGGCTCATCTTGACCTGCCCGCTCCCGCCCTCTCCTCCCACGCCCTTGGCCCGGCCACCTGCTCACTCCATGCCCGCCGTGGTGCTCAGGCGGAGCCCTCACCCCCTCCAGATCCACAGTCGCTGTTCCTTTGCGCCCCCATCTGCCTGACGTGGAGGCCCCTGTGCATGTCCCCCGGCCTCCTCACTGTGGCCCACAGTGACCTCTTTTCCTCCCCTCCCATCGTTCAAGAATAAGGCACCATCTCCTCTTTAAAAATACAAGATGAAAAAAAAAAAAAGAATAAGGCACCATCTCCCCTTTAAAAATACAAGATGAAAAAAAAAAAAAAAAAGAATAAGGCACCACGCCCCCTTTGAAGAAGCCCCTGCTGGCCGCTCTCCCCGTGGAGACCCCGTCATCTCCCCGGAGCCCACAGGCCTGGCCAGGCATCCTTGGTTTGCCTGGTGCCTTTCTGCCCTGCCAGACAGTGGCCCTCGATGTCAGCACAGAGGAAGGCCAGGGAACGTGTGCGCCCGGGGCAGGGAGGGGTGGACGGACAGACGGGCGGTGTGTCTGCCTGTGGGTTTCCTCCTTCTCATTCTTTATCAGTCCCTTCCTCCTTTTCCTGCCATCTCTCTTCC